GGTTATGTATAGCACTTTGAGCTGATGTGATCGACTACAGGAATGCAGCAGGTTTTCAGGAAGGAGGGAGCACATTCTAGGAAGGGGTGCAAGACAAGAGACAACACAGTCCAGAGTTGGATCATGGGAAGAGGAAGAGATTTGGGATAGCCGCTCCCTAGAATCTCCCAGGGTATATCCACTAGGTCAGAGTAGTACAGATTTAGTCTGGCAAGATTCTGACAATATGGTGTAAGCAATAAAAGAACTGAACTTGGCTGGACTGTTTCTCTGTCATTCTTGGGCTGGGTCTGATAGCTCCTGAACAAAAGGCAAAGTACAAATCTTAGAAATATTAATCTCCAGATTTATATTAAACAAAATAAGGTGTTCAAGCACTAAGCGATAAACCTTTTACAAAAGCACCAAACGAGACGACCCAGTTGCAGTTGTGGTGAACAACAGCCAGTTGTGTCTCTTGTAGAAAGGGGCCTTTCAGCTTTAGACTCAGAAGAAAAGGTACTTTTAAATAGCAGCTGTAGGTGTTCAAAGACCTACAGACCTTCTCTTTTACAGAGAAGGTATATAATACATATGATTCAACTCTTCATGGATGTTATCATTGCAGAACACACTGCTTAACAATTGGTAAGGCTGATCATATTCTATATCTCCAATTGATAATGACATTTCAGTGATGAGACTGTAGATCTTTGTTATGAGGCTGCTGTAACTTTCCATAAAGAAGTGTCCTCAGAGACTCTTCAGAAGGTTTAGTGGGTCATTAGAGGTTCTTGTTGCTCTGATTTCAGTAGCAGATCTGTTGGCTACTAGAATATTTAAGACAAATATTTAAAATGTATAGTTGGAAACCACCTGTCTTGGCATGATTTATTTCAACAGTTTTGCCCATTCTTCATTCCCCAAAGTTTCCCAGAGTAGCTTGTAAGCAATAGCCTGTTTGGAGTTAATGCCTGGCCCTCCTATTTTTGTGTTCATTTTTCTAGCAGTCCTTCTGCCAGATTTTCATGTGATACAGCCTTTGTTCCTTACACAGTAGTGCTTTGTGATACCAGTTTCTCTGGGCTACTCGGGTGGCTAACTGGGTGTTGGTTAAATAGATGTCAGGGAACCATAGGAAAATCCATTATTTCTGAAGCTGGAAGAAGTTAACTTAAATTAAAACTTTTTGGACATAATTGGATAGTTGACATGATAAAGTAAAGAAGATGTAATCAAATTCCTGCACTGCACAGTGTTAAGCAACGGTGGTGCTTGCCTATTACCTTATTGTCCTCCTTGGTCCGTTTGCAGGAAAATTCTACTGCAAACCTCACTACTGTTACAGGCTTTCAGGTTATGCCCAGAGGAAGAGACCAGCAGTGGGTCCTCTGTCAGGAAAGGTAAGATGTAGCTTTATTGTTTTAGTAAGCGTTGCTTCTTTGTATTAAAAAAATGGCTTCAAGTTGTTTGCAAGGGGAGGGTCTGACTTAACTAACTATCACACAAACCTTTCTAAATCGTTTTGGAAAGGGGTTTAAACCTTACCAAATTGAAGAGACCAGACAAGAATCTGTCAGCAGATGTAAAATTATACTTCTCTATAGCCAGAATTGAAAATATCATAAAGAATAATAAAAAATACTCTTCTTCTCCTTATTTCCATATGTCCAAGTATTTCACGGAAGAGGACTTTTTTCAATCAGTTGATTAAAAATCTGCAGTGCTGGGTGTTAATGAGTATAATGTAGGTAACATGATGTCCTCCAAATGTTTTGGGCTACAACTTTCATAAACATGAGGCAGAATGGGCCATGGAAAGGGTTTATGCAAACTGTAAGCCAAAATATGTGGAAGACATCGGGGTCTCTACCCCAATCCAGAATATCAGATCAACTGAACAAAGGAATAAATTAAAACAGTAACAAGTTTTCATTTTACTTCTGTGGTTGACTTTATATTCTTTCTTTGCATATAACACTTTATATAATGTCAAAAGGCCAAATCCGCATCTTTACAAATCCATGTTTTAGTTATATAAATGTAACATGCTTCTTAGTTTAATGCCATACATTTATTTAACATTTATTTTAAATATTTCTACCCTATGTTCTTGCCAATTTATCCCTCTAAGGCTAGACTTTTTGAATAGCCTTCCACCTGAGATTCAAAGGCCCCCATCCTTTTAGCCTTCTGGGAGGTTGTGAAGACCTGGCTGTTCCCCCAAGATTAGGCTAGGATGGGGCTGAATCAGGGGGTCAGTAGTATGGTCGGCCTGACGCCTGGTGGGAAGGGTTTGTTCTGTTTTTATCTTGTTGTTTTTATGGGTTGCTATGATCTGCCTGGGATCACTAGGTGAGATAGACAGCCATATAAATTCTTCAAATAAATAAGGAAATAGTTGATCATGTTTACCTGTTATCCAGGGAGTATCACTGATGAAGGGGAGCATGAATTATATTAGGGTGGCCAACTTCCAGCTCACTGTTGGTCTCATACCTGACATGTGCCCCTTGTCAGGCTCTTGAGCCCCCCAAAACAACCATTTTGAATGTCATTCTGGAATCAAGCAGCAGCATGTGATCAGTTTTGTTCTCTGGCACAGGCAGTCTGTTTTCCAGCAATCCACTGGGTATAGACTGGGAGCTATGTGGAAAGAGGAAGTGTGTAGAAAGAAAGGAATGTCAGAAGGGAGAAGAATGGGCTGGAGAGAGCTGAAGGAGTTGTGCAGTCTTCAACTATGCCCTTTATTTCCATTTCATGGAAAAATTACATCAGTTCTGAAAAGCTGTCTTATTTTGAAGGAGTTAAAAGTAATAATGAATTAAATTATGATTGATATCTCAGCAGTTCGCCGTTACAAACACATTTACTTTTTTAAGCAAAACAGTATCACCTCTCATTCATTTGCATGTCTTCCTTTAGCTACATTTAAAATTACCTACATTTAAAGTTGCATATTCCCTCACCTTTTTTCCTCCAGGACAACAAAGGGATTGTACAGGACAGCATGGCAGCTGATGGTGCAGGGCGTGCAAACTCCATCTCAGCGTCATCAGAGAAGACCCCAGGTAGCTCTGCTTCCTTGTTTGGCAAGATGATGCGGTACTCGCTCTGCGTCTTTGACAGAGTTAGGGAGGCAAGCCAGCTGCTGCAGGGCACGGTTTCCTCCATTGGGTACCACATAGCCCAAAATCCTTTGGACTCCTTTTTCATGTGCCAGCTGGTAGCTTTTGGAGTCCCTTTTCTCTATGTCCAGTCGGAGGTCCTTGTGCAGATACTGGGAGAATTTTTATCAGCACTAGGATATTAACCCCACAACAACAGCTTTGTAACCCTGTATTATTTGGGGAGATGCTTGGGGACCAATATGTATATGGGGGAAAGGAGCAACTTCTCTTGTAGTTTTAGAGACAAATCTCTGAAAAATGATTTTAATAAGAATATTGTTTTGAATCCGGTTCAGGTAAACACAGACCCCCAGTTCAGCATTTCCTTATGGTGGGTCCAGGTTTTTCAAAAGAACTGATCTGTGAAATCGGTAATTGATGAATTAACTATAATGTTATCATTGCGTGGAAGAGGCCTGCAACGTGGCTTCATTAACTGAATTTCTGTGTTTACCCAAACTCTGACTACTGTATCCCTGTACCCCATGATTTTCACTAATGTGGTATCTGAATAGCAAAACATCAAAACCTCATTGATATCCTCCTTGAATTCTCTGACAGCCAAGAGGCCCATAGCCTTTAACCCTAGCTGATACTGAGGTTGACAAGGTCTGATATTTTCTGCCTAAATATAGGCTTTTCCTCGGGGTAGTTCTAGAGTGGGCTGTCAAATCAAACTGCATTATTGAGAGGATTCTCCATAATCTTGACATTGATGCTTCCTACGAGGGAGTGTTTTGTGCCAAAACGCTCATTTGGCTAGGCTATTCTTTTGGACCTTTGGTAACCAAACTGGAGAGAAACCTGAGGGAAATTCAGAATGGATTTAGATTCTGAGTCTGGAAAACTGTGGACCAGTTTAGTTTATGGCCAAAGCTATATTTGTGAATGAAACCATGAAGGTACAGCTTTCGAATGAATATTTAAGAGACATTATGACTTTTTTAAAATAGCATGAAAAATTGTAATTGCATGACTTGAGACTGAGGTCTCCAATTTCCTCCTCCTCCAAATATAGGACTCTCAATAGCATTGTAGGTTTTTGTATTTGTGTGGCATCTTTCTCAAAGCAGCAAAATGAAAGATTCTGGAAAGCACTGGATAGAGCAAGACTTTCAAAAGTGCAAAAGCACGACTTCTTATATTTACTGGACAGGAGATATTTGGCTACGGGGAATGTTTTCTTTGTGTAGTCAAAGAAGCCAGATGCGAGCAAGAAGAACATCTATTCTGTCCATTATATAATTGCTTAGTTGCTGTCACGGAGTGAATCCCTTAAAGAGAGTTTAAACCTGATAGTTCAGACAAACTTTGAAAGTGCAGGTTTAATTTAAATTTGTTACTTGATAGGACAATATACCGAGGTAATTTGCAAGTGGAACAGATTGCATATGATGAATTTGATTTCTAATTTAGGGAGTTAGGGAGCTTCTGCCTTATTTTTCTCAGTTTAATTTGAGTTAATGACTAGCCTGGATTCTTCGTAAACTACTGATCTGTTAATTCCTGTTCCCTGCTGGTCAGGAGAGAAAATTGATCTCATATTTTATGGCTGTCTGCTAGGAAGAGTGGTGTTTCAGTTATGAGTGATGGGTATAGGAAATTAATATATGTGCTACACCAGGCAACTAGATAGAACTCTATATATTTATAGTGTGAGTTCAGGGGTCAAATAGCTATTTTGCTAATATGTGTGTTTTTACATGTTTGAGTTACAGAGATAACACTATAATCACCCTACTAAGTTGGTTATAGCAATAATTAAAGCATGAATTAATCCTGTGCTTTGTGGTATAGATGCCTTATGACTTTTGTTGATAGTTAAAGAAAGGCTGGAAAAATATTTCAAATCACCAGACCCCAGCATGGACTCAGAGCTGAGAAAATGTTGCATTTTATCTAGTTCAGACTGGACATCTTAGGATTTTTCAAGCCTAGTTTGTTTCCAAAAACTAGTCTTGCAAAGGATTGCGAAGCCTTGTGTAAATTCTGAATTGCTACCAAGAGTAAAGAAAGTGGGTTCTTTTAACTGCCAATTAGAGATACTGAAATTAAAGCAGATTGGCATTTCAAAGAGTGCAAATTGTTCCTGATCTGAAAAAAAGTGGCAGAGGGGTTACTAATGTTATTGAAAATTCTGGACAGACTCTTGACCTCACACCACTCTGTTTGTGGTCAGTTGTCCATTCCAAGCTGGCTCTTGGTTCATATGCAGTGGGCCAGGTCATGAGAGTGGCATGCTGTTTTTGCTATTTGCATGCTTCAAGCAAATTTGCAACCAATGTTTGCTTGGTTACTATGAAATGTTAAATTTCTACCCTTTCTTGTCTATTAGCTAACTTGGACAGCAGAGAAGAGAATTTTACTGTATTCAAGCTTGTAGTTTAATAGGTAAAATAAGCACTTCCTGTAAGTTGTTATTAGTCTTTCTGGCTCATGTGTCTCTTCCATCTTATCCATTGTGTGATTTAGAACATAAATCTAAATCAAAGGTATCATTCACTGAAATTAAAGAAGCACGTGATAAAGCTATTAAAGCAGGCCTCATTTCCTCTTCATTGGCTGCTTCTGATTTGCCAAGACCCCGAAATTGTTTTCCGTGAATAGCTTTTGATGTTCCTGCTATCCGGAGACATTTTTTGGAAATTGACTGTCAAAGGTCGCAGTCCTTTCTGCTGGTCCAAGGGTGGTGAAAGTCACAACTGGTGCTTTCTGCGCTTGAACTCTGGCATGCTTATTGCAGTTCTTGTATTAAGCCTTTCATATTTCTTTTTCCTGGGACTCTTGTATCAAATAATCTCTTTACTTTTGCCTATATGATACAATTGCTGCTGTTGCCAATAAAAGGTATGGGGGGGGATCCTTGTTTTTCAGTGGTTATATCCTGTAACAGTTGTCTGTCTCTTGTATTTTTGATTGTTTTACAGTGAGTGTTAATTTTTTAATATGTATTTTTAAATACACAAATGTTATTCATTCTGTTTGTAAAATGTTCTAAGATGTGTCAATCCTCCCATGGGTCTAGTTCAGCCTTCCCCAACCTGGTGTCTTCCAGCTAATTCTTCTAGAACTGCCAGGCAATATGGTCAGTGATGAATCATGGTCCAGCTCATCTGGAGAACATCAGGTTGAGGGAAGCACATCTCAAGGACACGGAACAGTCTCACAGGTGTAATGAAATTATGGCAGTTTTCTTTTCATGAAAACCCTGAATTGGTATATGCACAATCCAAGATACTTCCCATTATAAAAAGGAAACACCAGAACATTTACATTCTTTTTTAAAACAAGTATTCAGAAGCTAAGTAGTTGATTCCCTTTGGATTGAGAAGTTAAGATACCGCTCAAGTAATGATGGTCTTTCTCAAACTGGTGTCCTCGAGATGAATTAAACTACCATCTCTCTTGTTTCCAAGTATTTCAGATATTAGATATTCTGGCAACTTGTTATGACCTGTGGTCAAAACAATAAATAAATTGAACTGAATTGAATATTCTGGCTGTTGATGATGGAAGGTATAATTCAGTAATCTGGAGGGCACTGGTAGAGAAGGCTACCCAACACATTAGCCAAGGCACTTGGGTTACTAGGAAAATGACATTTACTTCAGGGATTAATGTCTGGATACATATTTAATCACATAATGAGGGCAGTGTTCCAGGCAGAGATTTCATATAGCTACAAAGGGACTGAATATTGGGGTAGGAGGTCTCTGCTTCTTCTTCATATTGTTGAATGAGCATTGACTGGATTCCTAATAGTTATTAGGAATTTGCTTAAGCATAAAAAAGGGAATAGAATACTTTCTTGATCAGTGGTTGGAGGAACTCCAGTTTTAGCTGTCTGTTGTAAAACAGAGCACTAGCTGATGGACTGAAATTATCAGAGAAGGTTCCTAAACTTACATGGTTTAAACAAACCAAACTTATATTTCTACAAACATGTTTATTCAGCCAGTGTAAACACATGGAATGGAAGAAAGATTCTGCTGAGAGGCAGTTAAGAGTTGTTGATAGTCAGGTGGCATACAAGTTTAATAAATTATTATCATCATCATTATTAATTTAGTTCACTGCTCAATGTTGATAATGGTATTTTTACAGCAACATAGCTGTAATAAGGAGTTAATGAAGTATGCTCCATGCACTGTATGCACACATGTGTATGCCCACGGTAAATGTATACAACATGATCTTTACAAATTGTATCCCTTTCCTAAAGTCAAGAGGTCTTGATTTAAAAGTAGCTTTTTCTCTTTTGACTACTGTGCATGATTTTTGTGTGCAGATCTTATGGTATTCTAAACGTAGGGCTGGTTAATTTAACTTTTTCACCAAGAATTAAATTACTATCTCTGTTACTTAAATCAGTTGCCAACTTTGAGTAGATGATCTGTTAAACTGTATTGTCACACAAATAGGCCTATCTGTGACCTGCAGTGCTGACTTGAGGTTAACCATGCCCAAAATACAACCTGAAACATTATTTGACTAGCATCAATTTTTGTATTAGTAGCACCAGTTTTTATATTAGAGCGCATATTTCACCGAATTGACCATTAAATTAGTAAACATTTGGCATATGCAAAGCACTTTTGCATATGTGAAAAATCCTTTAAAATATCTATATATGTTTGCTTATTGTACCTGGCCAATGTAAGGGAATTTCAGTCCTGTCATGAAACAATGGGTTTTTAGTAAATCCATTGCTACTGTATAGTATCTGTCAGACAGTGCTAAATTAATCCGTCCTTAAGAGTTTCCTTATGTAGCAAATTATTTTGCAAGCCATGTAAGTCTCAAAATTCATACTGTGAACTCTGAACATACTAGAGTGAGGCAAAAGTCATTGTTTTAGATGTTTTTGATTATTTTCCTCTGAAACTGGATAAAATTGTGGC